GAAGGTGCTCGGCTTAATAGCCCCGAGACGTGAGTGGCGAATGCATTCTTCGCCTGTTGTGATTGCAGCTTTCCGATGTCCAGCCTTCTTAACACACTTCGACGTGCAATCTTCGCCACACATAGCCGTGTGCGAATCTTAGCTGCAACAAGATAATGGTCAGAGTCGATGTTGGGACCCCGAAAAGATCGCACGTCGAGTATATTAGATGCGTGCCTTGCATCGATCACAACATGATCGATCTGATTTCTGGTCAGTCGATCGGCAGAGAGCCAAGATGCGCTATGGATGTCCAAATGACGGAATCCAGTACTACGAACTACCTTATTATGCACACGTGGTCTCATGTAGACTAAATCGCCCGACGGTGGCACCAAAGATGCTTCTCGTCCTACCTTGGCATTAAAATCCCCGAGAAGAATTTTAATGTCATGGGAAGGACAGCGTTCATAAGCTCGGTCGAGCTCCGCATAGAAAGCGTCCTTGGTGGCATCATCCTTTTCCTCCGTTGGGTCATGTGTGCATATCAGGCTGATGTTAAAAAATTTGGAAGTAATTCGGATCGTTGCAATTCTCTCGTTTGTTGGCCGAAAGTGAGAGACTCGGCGCCGCAGCCTGGCACCTACAACAAAACCATAACCAAATTCATGCCGTTTTTTAAGGCAGCTGTAGTAAATGTCACAGTTCTTCTTCTTTATGCAGCCTTGTCCTATCCATCGCATTTCCTGGATAGCAGAGATGTCAGCCCTACATTTGTTGAGGGTATTTGCTAGTTTTTGAGCAGCACCAGGTCTGTACAATGTTCGTACGGTCCAGGTTCATACTCTCAAATCATTGTGCTTTTTTACGCTTGCTATAAATAGTATTATTAATACAAATGATGAAATCGATGTTCCTCCGCAGTATAAAAAAGAAGTATCAATGCTGATCAAGAATTACAAGGCGGTAGATTCAGTAGCAGGCTGGATTCCAGTCAAGCTGCGAATTGTTCCAGATGGTGAGATTATCCCATTTCGTCAATCTCCGAGTCGATTTGCGATTGCCGAACAACAGGATGTCGAACAGCAGATCGTAGAATGGCTATCTGCTGGAATTATACGCAAAAAGGATGGCACACGCCGTGTTTGCGTTGATTTTCGTAAGCTGAACTCGACGGTATTGAGAGATTCCTTTCCCGTCCCTGTTATAGAGGAAGTACTTGAAAAGCTGCAAAAAGCGCGATACTTTACCGTGATGGACTTGGAGAATGGTTTCTTCCACATTGCCATTGAGGAAGAGAGCAAGAAATTTACAGCGTTCAACCAAATCCAGATTGTACGAATTCAATAGAACACCGTTTGGATTTCGGAATTCGCCAGCTGTATTCATTCGCTACGTTAATTACGTATTTCAGGAGCTGATGAACAAGATTTATATTTGGATGATATAATAATTCACGCCGAGACTGCAGAGCAATGTTTGCAAAAGATGGCACTCGTCTTCAAAAGAGCTGGGGCGTTTGGCCTGAAGATCAAGTGGCGAAAATGTCACTTCTTGCAGAGAAGAATTTACTTCTTGGGCCAAAACATTGAAGACGGAAACCTGTGGCCTGGACAAGAGAAGACTGTAGGGGTCAGCAAATTTCCGGTGCCGAAAAACGTCAGAGCAGTCCAAGCTTTTCTGAGGCTGACGGGATTTTTCAGAAAATGTATTCTGAATTATTCGCAAATTGCACGCCGGTTAACTGACCTGCTGCGCAAAGATGTTCGTTTCCAAATGGCTGAGCCTCAGATGAACGCGTTCCAGAGTTTGAAGGATGCGTTGACAAAGGAACCTGTTTTGAAATTCTACACCAGAGGAGATAAAACTGAGTTACACACAGACGCATCAAAAGACGGATTTGCAGCGGTATCAATGCAGTGGTTCGATGACAAACTCCACCCTATCCAGTATTGGAGCAAGAAGACAACAGGAGTTGAGTCCCGCCAGCACAGTTATATCCTGGAAGCCAAAGCCGTGTATCTAGCGGTACACAAATTCAGACATTATCTGCTGGGATCGCCGTTTAAGCTGATAACGGATTGTGCCGGTTTCAAACAAACTCTACAGAAGGCGGATATACCAAGAGCAGTCACGCAGTGGATTGTTTATCTACAAGATTTCGTTTTTACAGTGGAACATCGTCCTGGAGAATGATTAAAGCATGTTGACTGCCTAAGTCGCTATCCTGATCGGGTTATGCTTGTCTCCTTAGAGATCACAGCACGCATCAAAAACGCTCAAAAAATAGATGAGATGCTGAAAGCAATTTTGGAAATTATCAAATGCCGCCCATATGAGGGGTACAAGATAAAAGCTTTTTCCATCATGAAAGCGATGGAAAAAGAACTTATTGTTGACGCCCATAATTCAGACCATTTTGCAATACAAAAAACTCTACATACTATTCAACAATCCTATTGGATTCCTCACTTGGAGCAAAGTTCAGCATGTGGTGAGCAATTGTGTAAGATGCATTATTTTCAACAAGAAACTTGGCAAGAAAGAAGGTTTTTTAAACTGCATCGATAAAGGTGATCAACCCCTTCACACGCTGCATGTTGATCATCTGGTTTCCATGGATGCCACTGGAAAACAATATAAATACATATTTGCGATGGTGGACGCATTCACAAAGTTTATATGGCTTTTTCCTACGAAGACTGCAAGCTGCGAGGAAACGCTGAAAAAGGTTGACACTTGGTCCGAAATTTTTGGCAACCCAGTGCGGATGGTTTCGGACAGAGGCTCTGCTTTCACAGCCAACTTTTTTACAGATTACATGAAGGAAAACGTGTTGAACACGTTTTTAGCACAACTGGAGTTCCCCGCGGAAATGGTCAGATCGCAAGATTTCGGCACATGATCCAGCCAAGTGGTTTAAGGCAGTACCTGAAGTGCAGAGAGCTGTTAATTCCCACGTACATGCTTCTACTAAGAAGTCACCATTTGAGCTAATGTTTGAACAATAATCAGTGAAGATGAACAATAATCCAACCAATCGTATTCTACAGCTTCTAGATGAGGAGATGTATTCAAACTTCGACGAGCAACGGCAGCAACTTAGAAAAGACGCAAAGATCGAAATTCAACGTGCACAGGATTCCTACAAAAAGTACTATGACCTGAGGCGTACACCAGAAGTCAATTATAAAGTTGGAGACTTAGTCGCTATACGCCGGACACAGTTTGTTGCAAGGAAAAAGCTGGCTGGAGAATATCTGGGACCGAAAGAAATATCAAAAGTTAACAGAAACGGCAGATACGTAGTTCGGAAGGCTGCGGATGTAGAAGGCCCATGCCTTGTAACACTTCAACCACCTGTGATCACATGAAGTTGTGGCGTTATGTAAAGGATAATGAAGACGCTTGGTCATTTGGGACAGATGACTAGTCAGGAATGGCCGAATGTAAGAGAGTGGAAGATGTAACAGCAGCAGTATAACAGTATGAAAATCAGCAGTATGGCAGCAGTGTGAATATCAGCAGGTATGGCAGCAGTATGAAGGTCAGCAGTATGGCAACTTGAAAGAAAAAGCGTCGGTAGGGCAGCATCGAGGAAGCAGCAACAGCAAGTAGAACGACGGAAAGCAGCAGCAGACATTATCCTAATTTTAAAATATAAGGAATCAGAACTTGTAACATTTAATACACATAACTATCTCTTATAAAACTGAGTGGAGTTAAAAACTCTCCTCAAATTTGGGGGGCTCGTCTTAACCAGAAAATTACAAAGTGACGCCGTCCCGAAAAGTCTTAAAAAGTGAAGGAGTTGGATCACAAAAGGGAATGAGAGCAAATGAGTGAAAAGTCCAGACAGCAGTAGACTTCTAGAATACCAATTACGAAAGAAAAGCAGCCGTACTACACAAGGTCAGTTGCCGCAGCAGATAAAAATCGGAAAATTAGTGAGCCGGAGAGAAACGTTGAAGCAAGTGGAGATAAAAATATGAGTGAGACAAAGAGCTACGTGCAGAGTCTCGTCGAAGCAAGTGTGACTAAAACACAAAGCAACGTACAGAATCCCGTGGAATCGAGTGGAGGAACAAATGTCGCAGCTGACGCAATTGCAAGCTGTTCGATCGCCGAGAACACAAAAACGCTGCAGGATCTTGTTCAGCTTATGGCATTAAAAATGAAAGCAGATACACAAAATAGCCGTTGCTCAGTTACAGCGGAAAGTTTCGCGAAAATAATTCCGGAGTTTGACGGAGAATCCATGCCGGTCAAGAATTGGTTTGACAATTTCGAGCTGAATGCTAAAGCTTACGATTTGAACTTAAAGCAGCTGTATTTACAGGCACGTGCCAAAATGACAAAAACAGCTAAATTGTTTTTGGATTCGACTTACGTACACCAATACACAGAGATGCGGGTGTTGCTGCAGACAGAGTTTAGTCGTCAATACGCTACATAGTAGACGGCCTAAACTTGAGGAGTGACTTCAAATACACCCTGTACAATTGCAAGTCTTTCAAAGAGCTGCAGGAGCAATATGACGTATTTGAACGCGTCAACGAAAAGAGCTTCAAGCCGTTCCAGCTGAACGATGAAAAATGGACGCTGAATCAGAAAAAACAGTACGAGTTCAACGACCGAAAAAGCTACTGTTTTAATTGTGGATCAGCTGATCATCTTCGAAAGAATTGCAAAACTGCCACGAAATGCTTCAGTTGCAACAACGAAGGACACATGTACAGAGATTGCCCTAGGTCAGCTGCTGGTGTCCAAGTTGTGCGCAGCGGAAGACGGATGAAAAAGGTCATCATCAACGACGTTGAAGTGGAGTGCCTAGTGGATACTGGAGCCGATGTATCTATATTGAGAAAGTTCAGCTTTAACAAAATCCCGAATGTCCTCTTGGAGAGATGTACATCGACGCTCCGTGAACTAGGAAAGAAGATCACGTATCCAGAGGGATGCTTTTTGGCTGAGGTTGCAGTAGATCACTAGAAAACCCAACTCAATGTCATTTTGCAAAGTCACGTGCGCACCGTGGCATCACCCTTCTTCAGGATGGGACAGATCATGCTGAGGTTCCAATCTTCGGGCATGCTCTCCGTGAGCCATATCTTACTGATTGGTTGGTGCATGCTCCCTACCAACATATCACCAGCTGCCTTAAACAATTCTGCCGGCAGGCCGTTAGCACCTGCAGACTTGTTGTTTTTAAGCCGTTGGATTGCATCCTTGACTTCGATATGACTTGGGATTGGCACTTCAATATCAGTGCCATAGATTGGGGTTCATGGATCATGGTCTTCAAAGTCTGTGCTTGAGCCAGATAACCGACTCGACCTGAGCACGACCTCTGCTTCTGTGACAAGATTTCCATCATCGTCCCTGCACGCCACTGCACCAGTCTTAAATCCTTGGGTCAGACGCTTGACCTCTGGTAGAGGTTACGTGCTTCATTTGTGCATCTGCTGCTCTCTGTGCTCTCACACCCTCGCCTTTCCTGCTCTTTCTTTTTGCGTCTGAAAAGGCGTTTTCGTCTCTTCTTCTCGACCTGTAGACATCCACAATAGCTCGTGTCGCCCCAGCCTGCAGTGTTCTTCTGTAGGCGGCGTCCTTTGCAGCTGTTGCGTCATGACACTTCTGATCGTACCATGGATTCCTTGTTACAGAACGCTGGAATCCAAGCACTTCTGCCGAAGCTCGCAGGGAGTGAGATATGAGCGCCCACATATCGCTTATGTCTTCAGGTATTGAAGGTGCTCGGCTTAATAGCCCCGAGACGTGAGTGGCGAATGCATTCTTCGCCTGTTGTGATTGCAGCTTTCCGATGTCCAGCCTTCTTAACACACTTCGACGTGCAATCTTCGCCACACATAGCCGTGTGCGAATCTTAGCTGCAACAAGATAATGGTCAGAGTCGATGTTGGGACCCCGAAAAGATCGCACGTCGAGTATATTAGATGCGTGCCTTGCATCGATCACAACATGATCGATCTGATTTCTGGTCAGTCGATCGGCAGAGAGCCAAGATGCGCTATGGATGTCCAAATGACGGAATCCAGTACTACGAACTACCTTATTACGCACACGTGGTCTCATGTAGACTAAATCGCCCGACGGTGGCACCAAAGATGCTTCTCGTCCTACCTTGGCATTAAAATCCCCGAGAAGAATTTTAATGTCATGGGAAGGACAGCGTTCATAAGCTCGGTCGAGCTCCGCATAGAAAGCGTCCTTGGTGGCATCATCCTTTTCCTCCGTTGGGTCATGTGTGCATATCAGGCTGATGTTAAAGAATTTGGCAGTAATTCGGATCGTTGCAATTCTCTCGTTTGTTGGCCGAAAGTGAGAGACTCGGCGCCGCAGCCTGGCACCTACAACGAAACCACAACCAAATTCATGCCGTTTTTTAAGGTAGCTGTAGTAAATGTCACAGTTCTTCTTCTTTATGCAGCCTTGTCCTATCCATCGCATTTCCTGGATAGCAGAGATGTCAGCCCTACATTTGTTGAGGGTATTTGCTAGTTGTTGAGCAGCACCAGGTCTGTACAATGTTCGTACGGTCCAGGTTCATACTCTCAAATCATTGTCCTTTTTTACGCTTGCTATAAATAGTATTATTAATACAAATGATGAAATCGATGTTCCTCCGCAGTATAAAAAAGAAGTATCAATGCTGATCAAGAACTACAAGGCGGTAGATTCAGTAGCAGGCTGGATTCCAGTCAAGCTGCCAATTGTTCCAGATGGTGAGATTATCCCATTTCGTCAATCTCCGAGTCGATTTGCGATTGCCGAACAACAGGATGTCGAACAGCAGATCGTAGAATGGCTATCTGCTGGAATTATACGCAAAAAGGATGGCACACGCCGTGTTTGCGTTGATTTTCGTAAGCTGAACTCGACGGTATTGAGAGATTCCTTTCCCTGTTATAGAGGAAGTACTTGAAAAGCTGCAAAAAGCGCGATACTTTACCGTGATGGACTTGGAGAATGGTTTCTTCCACATTGCCATTGAGGAAGAGAGCAAGAAATTTACAGCGTTCAACCAAATCCAGATTGTACGAATTCAATAGAACACCGTTTGGATTTCGGAATTCGCCAGCTGTATTCATTCGCTACGTTAATTACGTATTTCAGGAGCTGATGAACAAGATTTATATTTGGATGATATAATAATTCACGCCGAGACTGCAGAGCAATGTTTGCAAAAGATGGCACTCGTCTTCAAAAGAGCTGGGGCGTTTGGCCTGAAGATCAAGTGGCGAAAATGTCACTTCTTGCAGAGAAGAATTTACTTCTTGGGCCACAACATTGAAGACGGAAACCTGTGGCCTGGACAAGAGAAGACTGTAGGGGTCAGCAAATTTCCGGTGCCGAAAAACGTCAGAGCAGTCCAAGCTTTTCTGAGGCTGACGGGATTTTTCAGAAAATGTATTCTGAATTATTCGCAAATTGCACGCCGGTTAACTGACCTGCTGCGCAAAGATGTTCGTTTCCAAATGGCTGAGCCTCAGATGAACGCGTTCCAGAGTTTGAAGGATGCGTTGACAAAGGAACCTGTTTTGAAATTCTACACCAGAGGAGATAAAACTGAGTTACACACAGACGCATCAAAAGACGGATTTGCAGCGGTATCAATGCAGTGGTTCGATGACAAACTCCACCCTATCCAGTATTGGAGCAAGAAGACAACAGGAGTTGAGTCCCGCCAGCACAGTTATATCCTGGAAGCCAAAGCCGTGTATCTAGCGGTACACAAATTCAGACATTATCTGCTGGGATCGCCGTTTAAGCTGATAACGGATTGTGCCGGTTTCAAACAAACTCTACAAGGCGGATATACCAAGAGCAGTCACGCAGTGGATTGTTTATCTACAAGATTTCGTTTTTACAGTGGAACATCGTCCTGGAGAATGATTAAAGCATGTTGACTGCCTAAGTCGCTATCCTGATCGGGTTATGCTTGTCTCCTTAGAGATCACAGCACGCATCAAAAACGCTCAAAAAATAGATGAGATGCTGAAAGCAATTTTGGAAATTATCAAATGCCGCCCATATGAGGGGTACAAGATAAAAGCTTTTTCCATCATGAAAGCGATGGAAAAAGAACTTATTGTTGACGCCCATAATGCAGGCCACTTTGCAATACAAAAAACTCTACATACTATTCAAAAATCCTATTGGAGCAAAGTTCAGCATGTGGTGAGCAATTGTGTAAGATGCATTATTTTCAACAAGAAACTTGGCAAGAAAGAAGGTTTTTTAAACTGCATCGATAAAGGTGATCAACCCCTTCACAGGCTGCATGTTGATCATTTGGGTTCCATGGATGCCACTGGAAAACAACCCACGGGCAACCCAGTGCGGATGGTTTCGGACAGAGGCTCTGCTTTCACAGCCAACTTTTTTACAGATTACATGAAGGAAAACGTGTTGAACACGTTTTAAGCACAACTGGAGTTCCCCGCGGAAATGGTCAGATCGCAAGATTTCGGCACATGATCCAGCCAAGTGGTTTAAGGCAGTACCTGAAGTGCAGAGAGCTGTTAATTCCCACGTACATGCTTCTACTAAGAAGTCACCGTTTGAGCTAATGTTTGAACAATAATCAGTGAAGATGAATAATAATTCAACCAATCCACTGTGGTCCGGCTTGTATGAAAAGAGCGGCCAAAAATACTTCTAGTCAAGGTAGGGACTTGAAACTTGGCACAAAATATTTTTATTTTTATTATTTATTTAACAAAATTAAATCTAGTATATAATACTAAATCTAATGAGTTTCTTAAAAGAGTACTAGCTGCTATGGCCTACGACTCGAGACTTAGTTAATTATTTACAATACTTAAATATTAAGGTTGCATTTGATTACAAATGTATAAAGGTTTGTTATGTTTTCTTGAGAAACTACATTTAAACTGTCGGATGGTTTATGCTGTTTGAAAATGTGAGCCCTGACGCTCTCTAGAAGACGGCATGAGTTAAGAAGATGGTCTATTTCAAGGCGTTCGCCACAAAGGCAAGAGGGACGTGGTGTTCCTGTAAGAATATGTTCGTGTGTTGCACCAGTGTGTCCGATGCGAAGGCGAATGAAAGTTGAGCATACCCGCTTTCCAAGGTAGGCAGGCAGAGAAATTTTTGTAAAAGTATTGTTGATGGCAAAATATCGGTGGTTATAAAGTTCCCATTCTCCAATTTGTTTGTCCTTAAGGTGATAACGGATTAGGTTACATATGACCTTGCTGTTGAAAGTCTCATGTCCTGAGCAGCCTGATCTGCTAGTTCATTGCCAACGATTCCTTGGTGGCTGGGGCCCATAAGAGAGTTATCTTGTTGGTGGTGGAAAGCTTTCTTATCTCCTCGATTGTGGGATCGGTGTGCCCCCAGTTCCTTAAAGAAGATAAGGTGGAGAGGCTATCGGTACATATAACAAATTGTCCAAGGTGTTTCTTGGCGAAGAGGCAGGCTTGTAGTATGGCGAAGGTTCGGCTGTAAAGATGGAGTTGTACTGAGGTAGCATTCCTCCTGAGATTATTTTGCCTTCGCTGTCGACAACAGCAAAGGTAGTTGATTCGTCTGTTTTAGATCCATCGGTGTAGAGCCATGATTTTGAGCCAAGTTTTTCTTGTAACGATCGGAAGCGGGTCTGGAATTCTGATCTCGTGGTATTCTTTTTTGAGGCGTTATACATATCCAGGTTCACATTAGGTTTTGTATTGTTCCAGTAGGCTGGGGGCTTTGGGAGGTGGTAGGCCAAGCTGCGTTGTGTAGTTGGCACATCGCCTAAGGGTGGATATGATTTTGTATATTCGTTTTTGCTTAAACAAAGCAGAAAAATCCTTCCTTAAAAGAGCATTTTTTGTTAATTGCAATTTGGGAATGAGCTGCATGGTCGTTTCTTCTCTACGGGCCTGAATGCTCGGAAGACCAGATTCAGTCAAGATGCATGCGGTAGGAGAGGTAGGATACGCGTTAAGAGCACGTCGAATTGCACCGTGGTATGGAGCCTGCAGCTTGCTTAGGTGCGATTTTGCACACCATCCGTAAACTGGTAGGCCGTAATCTATTTTAGAGAGCATCAGGGCACGAGTAATCCCTAACAGTGTATTGATGTGAATGTTAGTATATTTGGATGACAAAAATTTTATAATATTCAATCTAGTCTCGAGCTGTTTTCTTAATTTAATACAGTGTTGATCAAAAAGGAGTTTGGTATCGATGGTTAAGCCCAAAATGGTTAAACTTTTTACATTTTCAATTATTTTGTTTTTAAAGTTAATTTCAGAGAGAGAGCATCTGTGCTTACGGCAAATATGAAGTATTTTACATTTTTCCTAGGGAGGCACCCGAAATGGCTCCCCAGGAATCTATGTCTTTTAGTACATCTACAAATTTATCTTTAACAGTATTTACATTTTTAAGTTTGGTAAACAGAATTGCGTCATCTGCATATATTGAGACTTGAATATCCTTATATCTACGTATTATACAATTAAGTTCTTCGAAAGCAATAATAAAAAGAACAACTGAAAGAGGGGAGCCTTGCGGGATGCCGTTATAGAGGCTGTGGATGTTAGAGGTGTTGTTGTTAACGCGAACTCTGAAGGGTCTATTGGTCATGAAGGCCTTTATAAGGTTATAAAGCTTTGGACCAACACCCCAGCGCTCAAGCTGACTGAGTACGGCATGAATCCCTACACGATCGAAGGCTCTTTCAAAATGCGTCGCCAATATAGAGACGTGATTTTTTGTGGAAAGGGCGTTCGACGCGAAGTGTTGAATACGCAATAAGGCGTCCATAGTACTATGTTTTTGTTTGAAAGCTACTTGGTTATGTGAGATTAGGTTATTGCGGGTGATGAACCACATAAGTCTGCGGGCTATAATTTTATCTATTGTTTTACCTAAACAGGATAGGAGGGAGATGGGGCGGTAGCTGTTAATTTCGGCAGGAGGTTTATCGGGTTTGGGTATTGGGATGACAGTGGCTGATCTCCAACTGTGTGGGTATGTTCCGGAGTTTAGGATTTGATTATATATTTCTAAAAGTCTAATTTTGAGGGAATGTGGCATTTCTCTAAGCATAGGATAGGAAATCCTGTCTGCACCAGGGGTTTTACCCTTTGACCCTGCTAAGGCATTATCAATTTCACCTAGAGTAAAGCGTTTATCTAATGTTTTGGCAGGGGGTGTCAGTGTTGTCGGAAGATAGGTCAGGGATAAATAGGCATCTTTTTGGTGTATGTATTCGTCTGAAAAGTTACTATCTGCCGAGTAGTTAGACCAGAGATGCCCGAACTCTTCGGCGATATCCTGAGAATCTGTTACGACACCTGAATGACACTTCAAGAATCGAAATGGTTGTGGTGGCACACCGGCCAGCCTCTTTACGTCGGAC